ATGAATGGATAAAAATACTATGCAGAAACAAAGCAATTTATCCAAACTAAAAATGTGTTACCCAAACTATGAACTCCATATAATCCTCACTCACTATGTATTGTTGTTTAAATTCCCCATTGTTATCCACCCAAAGTGTTACATAGCGCTCTCTGGGCTGGTGCAGTACTCTTTAACAATCATACATCTGGTTTTCTGAGACATAGGCCTGGGCGCATTGACTTCCTGCAACTTTTCTAAGAGCTATAATGAATTATAGTGTGTTTGTGTGTAGGCTATATAGGCATATTTTATACTGTATCTTTCAAATAATGTTTTTTTCAACATGCCCCTCATAAAAGAGGTTCCTTTATCAATGCCTTAGCAACAAAAACGCAACAGTATTTCTTAGGTACTTGTCAGTAGAGACTTAAGGAAAATACTTGCCCATCGAAGAAATAGTTTGGCACGCAAACCCCCCACATAAAACCAGTACTTCTCATTTTTAGCCTCAAGTTTTTGGTCACATTAAACAAACAAGATATCATATGTTTAATTAGTGGGCTTTTGTGGTGCTGGCAGATTATGTTACCTTTTGACAGAGCCAGGCTAGCTGTCCCCACTTTTTCCAGTGTTTTTGCTAAACTAAGCTAACTGGCTAGCTATAGCCTCATATTTAACTTACATAAATAAGAGTGGTATCGATCTTCTGAACTAAGTCTTGGCAAGAAAGCAAATGAGCTCATTTCCCAAAAATGTCAAAATACTGCTTGAGTTATTTGAGTTGAAAAGCCTTCCCAACAAAAAAGGCAATAGCTTCAGTGACATACTATGCTAAATCAATATTTATAAAACACATGAAATCTGTGGTTTTATCATGATTGCAACTTCTCCTTCTGTTAGGGAAAATCATAACCAATCCACTAAAAAGAGTGAAATAACTAAAGCAAGACTTTCAATCCTTGATGCCGGGAAGTCGGTTCGCATAGGTTGCATGCGGGGTCAGCTTTAGGTCATACTGGGCATCCATTAGTGGCCTTATTTAGAGTCTTATTCTTTTAAGAGGAGTGATTGGCTAGCAAAGACAGAGAATCATTACCTTTGCCCGCCCCCTCCCTGCCAGCAGTCAATAATGAAGGATCATTAAAATGAATAGATGGACATTCCCCTTTTCTCCGGATCCTTATTGCAAAATCAGTGTCAGGGGAAATGAAGATTGAGCTTGGAGAAGGCGTCTAAAAGCCTCACAGTGATTGTCGTGAACTCATCTCCAGTGCCAGGCTCCTTTATCTACTGTAAGAGTCTGCACCTGCCTGAACTCTTGACTAGCAAGGGCTTTTACTGTAGCCCATTAGAGCATCCCTAATGTGCGCCACAATGTACTTCAACGTAAACATTCTGTGTATGTACAGAAACATTTACAGCAAACAATAGAAGCATGATGGCTTGGAATGCCTTGGAGTGTTTTCCTGATGAAGAAATAGAGCTCTCTCAGAGTGAACTACAAAGGGATATTGAATGCATCAGGTTTGATTTGGAGAATAGAGAAGTCACGTGTCACGATCCCATAAACAGACTCTTAAAGATAATTCTCACTTTTGCACATTTAAGCTTAAGCTCAAACATCTGTCCCGCCGCTAAATTTGTATAAACCCTTGCACAACATTTCACGCATCACAAAAGAGAGGGCGAATGAAGCTTGAATGATTGCAGATGGAGAATAAAAGACGGCACAAGATTTTCCAGGCCCCATCTGGTTGCTTTTCGGAGCGTTCCCTTAAAGTGTCTTTTAAAAAGGTGATTTGTCTGTGCGTGTGCAACGATGTGACCATGGGTCATCTGCTGGTGCTGTCACATGTGAAATGCTCCCATGAAATGGGTCTAAGTACACCTGTGGAGCCCCACAAACCCCGCCCTAAACAGATAAAAAAAACACATGTAAACACGTGCTCGAATCCTCACACATGGTTCTCGTCTTCCTTCTTTATCATGCTGAAGGTAATTGATAACGGTCTGTTTATAGTCATCTGACACATGTCTCTGGAGAGCAAAAGAACTCAAGGGACCAAAAAAAGATCAAATATACTGGCTCATGGGACAAAACTATCAAAGACTCCTTAGTATGGCCAAGCAATTATCTCTTAAAGCATCTCTTGAAGCCACCCCCATGGTTCTCTCAACATGCCCTTCATAACAGAGGCATATTGAGGATTTACAGCTTGCAGATGGCCGGTGAGAGACGAGGGCAGGAGCTGCAGCACTGTGCCTATGCACTCACTTTATAAAAGCTGAAATCAAGGGCTCGCTGGGAATACAATGGAGGAGGAAGCAGGGCCATAAAGACGCTATAAATCCGTACAATGAAACTTCTAAGTCGTGCCCTCTGCCAGGTGCTGTGAGCATGCAGACCCTGGGGAGTAAATGGCACGCGCTGGAATCATTATGATCAGGGAATTCTTTTTGCATTCTCTGTGCTGTTGTCCCCACTGCAGGGGTTGCTTTAGCCATTGATTGGCAATGGCTGCATCTATCAGTTATTTATTCAGTGCAGCAAGTCAGTTTGTGAGTCAGATCATTTGATCTTGCAATCATTGGCATCTCCACCTGAGTTCAGTCACAGCTCCTTTTTGACGATATTACTATTATTAACTGTCGCTTTTATCCAAAGCAACTCATGATACATGTATTCATAAAGCCATAAAGAAACAAACACAAAAAGATAACTTCCTATGTAATTGTGCCTGTTATCACAACACATATTTGCTTTCCGCAAGTCTTTTCACACCACAGCAATATGATATGCTTGGAGCAAGTGCTTAGAGCAAGTGTCCCAGAAGTCTGGTGACAAAGATTTCACTGCAAGAAAGTTTGCATGGGCACCTAAAGTCAGCTGCTGATTCCTTTACTGTATGTTGAAACCTTAAGTTCAAACTTACTTTGAGTAATAAACATAGTTATTTTTAATCCAAAACAGGATTTTTTCCAGAACCGTACTAAGTAGTTTAGTTTGAATTTAAGATGTGATACAACCTTGCAGCTATTAAGCTATCTGCTGTTAGCAGTGCTTTTTTCACGTTTCTGCTTAGGGTAAGGGTTAGCAACAAAGCAGATATACAGTATAGTAAGTAAAACCAAATCAAATTCATACAACTGGTCCAGGTGCTGGAAGGCAGATTTAGTTACCTTAAGAAAAAAACCAAGCTACACGTTTCTTCTGGTGCTAGTTATTTTCTGGTCAAAGCATCATATCTAACATACAACTACGAGGGTGGCATTGATCTTCTGGTCTAACCCTTGGAGCAATTGCAAATACCAATGAAATAAATGAAGCTCATTCTGTTTAAATTAAAAACTGTAAAATGTTAGTTTATATTCTCTAAAGTTGAGCAGATACACCTTGGTAGCATTCATTGTTAAAGAAAGCAGTTCAGTGTTTGAACCGGTACAAAATATAATGCAATGATGTAAAAAGATTGAACTCAACAAAGTATATTCACAAGAAAATGTCATCATCTGGTCATCAGATACAGACCTTTCAACAGTTTAGGTCAATAGGTTTTGAAGCTCCATTTGTTTTCAGATCATGGATATTCTACTGATTTAGTTAGCCTCCCTGCTTGACTGCTGCTTCGTGGAAACTACGGCCCGGAGTCATCTCTCAGCTGTGTCAAAGGGTATGCCGGCATCAGATGAAGAGTAAGGTAAAAAGGACAGGGTGCCAGGAAAAAGGGGCGTGACTGCATCTGTAAATAGTGGGGCTATTTTGGGCTTACCAGGTCCGTACAGGGGAGCGCCGCCTAGGCCTGCCTTCTGTCACTATGGGGATGTGCGCTTCATAACTTTGCTGGGTGGAAAAAGTCTGGAGGACTGGCAGGTGGTACACAGGAGCGTGGCAAAGCTCCCATGGCGAGGTGCTGTTTTACTCTTAACTACCCACCACTAACAATACTCACTGGAAAAAACACAGGCCCCTGCTTGTACATGGCATATCAGCAGCTTGTTGCTTCTTATCCTGCTAAGTGTAGGGTTGTTTTTATTTCAAACATAATGGGAAGACCAAATACCATCTTCTGATAGATTAAGTGCCATCTTGCTGGCAATGGCGTAGGAAGAATGTACACCTAGCACTATTTTGTGACAATTTAAATTGTAATAAATCAAAGTAAATATTCATTCCAATAACAGTGTGGTGAACTAGCGGTTAACAAAACTGTATTTTTCCATCCTCTTGTCAATGTCCAACTGTCTCCATTTCAGGTTTTATGAGGGATAGGTGCAGGTTGGAACAGTCAAAGGTTTAATAAGGTCAGGCCGTAGAACACACGGATAACACACAGACAAGTCAAAGACAAAGCCTAAATCTAAAGCATAGCCATATGGGCCATACATGTAATAGTCAAAGAATGCTTTTAGAGGGGAAAAAGAAGAAAAAAAGGCAGAATCTATACCAAATGTAAGACTATTTTTTTTAGCGAAATTGTATTTTCTAAAATAAATCGATTCAAGTCTATACTAGTAATTTCAATATGCACATTTTTTTTTTTCAACCCTTAAATGGGCATTTAATATTTTGGAAAATGAATTGATTGTTATTTTCTACATTACACATATATTACAAATTAATACACCCCTATTCCTCCTTATCACCAATATTACACCCGTATTAAAACAAAATGACTCTATCCATGACATCCATGTTACACTGGTATTACACCCTAATTGCACCCATGTTACACAATTATTACATCCGTATTACACCCGTATTATACCCATGTTAGACTGTTAATTACAGCTATATTCCACTGTTATTAGACTCATATTCAACCCGTATAACACCAATACTAACCCGATATTTCACTGTAATAACATTGTTATTACACCCATATTTACAGTCAAATAAATGTACCCCCAGGATCCAGAAACCAGTTAATGGTTAATGTATTTTTCCAAAAGGCTCACTAAATCAGTAATGATAAAACAAAATACAACAACAATAACTGACAACTTAGGTTATGTATGGTCACCATTATGCCATTTATTAATTCATTGTTTAGAACATATTAAATGCACTTTAAACACATTTCATTTTTCATAAATATTTCATATTAAAGAGAAATATGTTTCACCTTGTGCCTACACAGAAAAGCATTATAGAGTTGCAACAATCAACCAAGAAAAAGAGTAAGGCACAAAATAGAAACCTTATTTATACAGTTTAGTCATGCTATATACTATATGTCCAAAAATGTATTAGGAAGCTATATTGTAAGCTACTGTCAGCTAAATGATCCTCGACTTTAGGTACAATGTGCATGCTCAGAAAGACCGATAACATGGAAAAAGACTGCAGCTGTGTGGAAAAAAAGTCAACGAAGGTACGTTTGTGAAGCGACAGTGGAAACTATGTTTGGTCTGGAAGCCAGTTTCTATGGTAAAGTGCATAATGTTTTTTTGTACATGGGAACCACTCAATGCTTTGACGGAAAAAAAGAAAAACTTGGACAATAATTTCACCAAAGTTAAAATCCTTTGGTTTACTCACATCAATTATTGCCAGCTGTAAGTAACAGTCCTGCCATCTTCTCAGTGGAATCACCCATGAGTTAAACTGAGCCTGCTGAAGACTTACATTATTCTGCATATTTACGTGCGAAACCTGCAGTGCAAGATGTTCAAATATATTGTCCAGGAGTATTCTCATTGAAATTCAGCAGGTAAGCATACCATTGTTCAACTATCTTATAGCTAGGGGAGGATTACACCTGCCTTCATAAGCCCCTGCAACCAGGAACTGTTGTCATAGGATATGTACTATATATTTCTCTGATTGTCTGTGCATCGTCATGTCATATGGGAGGAGCGGAAGACTGGGGCAGGATGAAAAAAACAAATACAAATAGGCACTAAGGTGAAAAGCATAATGCAGGGTAGTATAAATGGTACACATTATATGGAAACAAATGGAACAAAAGAAAAAAGCTTAACAGCATGATATAAGCATAAGGCATACGTTTTTTCAAATACATGTTTATACAAAAGAATATCATACAATAACATTCAGTATAAATGAACAATGAGATAATAAATGAGGAAGCGAGAAAAAATACTAATCTATTCACATACTCCCTACATCTTTTCCAGCCTTTTTTTATTCTGTTTCCCTGTAAACAAATCATTGAAATGATATAAAACGGTCATATAAAAATGTCCAATTGGGTCACAATGAACCATTTGCATTTGTGTGACTGTTGCTAATATTTGCTGTCAATATTCCTGCAGTAAGGCACCAATTCGGTTGTAACAGATTGACTGCACAGACAAATGAGCCAAAGTGATGTAGCGTGACACTTATTTGTCCCATTAGCTTTGTCCATGCATTAGCATCCAGTTCACACACAAATTAAGGATTGTCATTTTGTCAACGATAGAAGTAATTCAGTTTCATTGAGCTGTTTGGTCCACTAAATAACATCTGCTGTGTATTAAGGCAAGTGTAGTCGGATACTTTGCCCCTGATATCACTTCCCTTTTTGTAAATATAACATTTATTTGTTTATTCAAATGGAGCTTGCCAGTGATTGTCAATGAGAAAATGCAGCAAGTCTTTGAGTTAGGAGGAGCTGAAGGCGATGATGGTCAGTTGGGAGGTCCTCGTCAGAACTTTATTCTTCATCATCTGGATCTCTAGGTTGTTTTTGGTCCTCATTTTGTTGATGCTGCTGTTTTTGTGTTTGTGCTGCTGCAGATGAGTTCTTGGAATCTATGCATGAGTGTGCACGGATATGCTGGAGAGGTCGTTCCTGATGATCTCGTTAACTGTAGAGAGAAAAGAGACATTTGGAATCATTATTAACTAGTCACAATAGATGTCAATGGAGGCTATTCAAATACTATTATTAAATGTAATGAAGAGATGTGACCTGGAAGGTACAGAGACTTGTGATAAAAGCTTGTCAGTTTATATTCCCTGCCAAGGCCGTATTTACAACCAGGAAATGTGGGCCTCGGAACTCCAGAGGTTTCGGTTGAGTAATCGAAAAATGACGTCCTATGTCTGTTACCGACCACTTTCCCCTTGACTTCGATGGAAAACGTCATGAGGTCATGGAAAGATGTGAAGGAGAATTCTTAAGAACTTAGGAAAAGACAACCGAGGATCTAAGAACTCCCATTGCACATACACTATGTGCGACAATAAACGTTTTTTTTACAACAGCTTTATTTACTAAATAAATAGCATTAACAAGTTAAGACAAAAGAAAACTGGATGAACGTGGCATTGTATTGAAGAAAGATAGTACATGTTGCATAACCCTAACCTCAAAGTTCTGCGATGACCCCAGAGGTGGAAGAAGTACTTAGATATGTTCAGTATCAGTATAAAATTAAACCAAAAGTACCAAAACTAAAAGTACCCATTAGGCAGTTGACTAATTTCAGAATCATACATATTAGATTATTGTATAGGACAATCATGTTCTTATCACTTCGATGTTGCATCTGTTAAAAGGTGGGGTTTATTTTAATTACATTGTATACTTCTGGGCAGCTTAACTTCTAAAAACCCTAACCCTACTAGATGAGTAGTGTTATGTTAGTTTTAGAATTTAGCCTTTACAACATATGGACGTTTTCTTACTTGATGAAGAAAACATTGACTGAACTGTAGGCTGAAAAATAAGGGCAACTGACAATGATGTGGTTGTAGAAAAATAGTGGATGTCAGTAGCTGCAATCCAAACATATCACTGTCATTACCAGCCTTTAAAACTGGTATCGGCCTTGTGCACATATCTCTGTTTTGAAGTCATCGTCCTGTCCTTCCTGCACTAGTTCCTGTGCCCGCGCCTTTCCCACAGTCGGGCAGACACAGAAGTCCCCTGTCTTTATCTGCTCTGTGTTCTTTGGCAAAACAGAGGGAAGTGACTGTGAAGATGGCGAGGACCCCGAGCCCTGAAGCTCAACGCAAACAAGAAGCTCCTCAGTCCCAGAGCTTACTGCGATAAAGTGGGCTGATGTAGACAGAGAGAATGAGAGAGAAAGTCGGGTTGAACCACCATCCCCAATGTAAGGAGCCGAGACAGGAAGTCCACCCACTCTGAGGCCCAGAGTGGGCCTGCAGTGTGTTATCACCAGATACTGTTTGGTGATCGAGACCAAAACATCACTGAGAAAAAACAACAACCCAACTCTATTATGGGAATCAACAATGCGCTATTAACAGGAATGACATAAAAAACACTTTTATAATATACAAACTGATTGAGTGGAGAAAAAACTATTACAAAATGTACATTTAACCTTATTGTTGAATCCCACTCAATCAAATATTGGTGGTGTGCGTCCAATTATTTGTATTATTAGCATAGGTAATGCCTCTCAAACACGTTATACTATCCCAAGGGTTTATAGTCTTGATTGGCCCAATGGTATGTCATTGTGATGATTACTTTAAAATATGTATTATATGATAAACATGTTTTTTCTTCAAATTTTAAATGTATTTTTTTGCGTTGAACTGTGAAAACAAGATGGTTTTTCTTATCTTCGTAAGAGACCTAACCACCATTTGTGAAATTAGAAGAGAGCAAAAATTGGGGAATATCATAAATCAATTGGTTCTAACGAAGAAGAAATGGAAAAAGAAGAGATTGTTGTTATATATTGGGAATAAAGACTTTACTTTATAAAAAAGTAGGCCACACACACACACACACACACACACACACACACACACACACACACACACACACACACACACACACACACACACACACACACACACACACACGTTGGGACTCCCCTCCCTAAGCAGGAGGAACTCCCATTGGAAAGATCCCACCTGTGCCAACACTGCGGGATGTTTTCAACTCGATTACACTCTGGGATAAACAGGCATTTACACGCCGAGGTTATTTTTAGCTCTGCCATCGCAGGGCATAAAGGAAGTGTAAGCACATTTAACAATTAGATGATCAAACTTGAATGTCGCTGCTCTTTTCTGCTTGTGAGAAAACGGCTGCAGGAAATTTCAAAGAAGGGAAAACCCAACTGTTTGGCAGCAAAAAGCCACAAATGTACCTTTTATTTTTCTCTTTTCAGTCACTTTCTAAAAAATAGTGACGTCTCCGTCGCCCACATATCAACTGTAGTGTTATTTTGCTGCCTTTAACCATCTAATATTTTCCATTGGCAGGCCCGACGATGTTCCATTCTGAAGAAAAGAGTGATAAAGAGAAAGGAAGAACTCTGGCCCCGGTGTTTTTCTTCGATGTGTTCTGTCAGCAATGTGTGAATCTCAGAAACAGGATGTGGCCAACTGTTACACCACAAGACAACACCAAGCTGCTATTTATAGCTGTTTAATGGGGTAGCTTGTGGCACTATTTACCTGCTAACTTCTTGGAAACTAAGACATTTGAAAAGAACAGTTGATGAAACTTGACTGACAGATAAACAGGTAATGAATACATCAATAAATGTGCATATGCTATATTTCTACCAGTTAGATGTTTGGCTATAGCTCAGAAAAAACAATTAACATTGAGAAAAGATCTTGTGTCACACTTCTGCCAATGCCTATTTTTCAGCTTTCCATTTGATCTGCCTCACCTTCCATGAAGTGACTAGATCACCACAATAATGCAGAATTATGGGAAGACATGCTGGGGAACATTTTGTCCAGAGTGGAATTTTGCTCCAATAATTCAACCAGTTGCATAATATAAACAGGCAAGGGTATATAACAATATCTCCTCTTGTAAACTAAGCCCTGGAAAGCGGGTTGCAGTGTTTAAAAAATCCTGCCAGATGATTATTTTCAACTTTCCTGATCTCTATACGCAATTGCAGTATTATGTTATATGATAATATGTTTATTGTTAGATAGGTACAGAAATGAACTCTCTGTGGCTTGGCATCCCTTTGAGGAGCGTTGGAAACTTGTGTCAGTTGCCCAGGTTAATAATGGCAAGCTGTTACTTGTAGGACACATCATGAATAAACAAAAAACAGCGGAAAATTTAGCTCAAAATATTCCCCTGATAAAAAAGAAAAGAAAAAATAGCCGTGCCCTGCTAGCCTTAGTCAAACAGAATGACAACCTTTAGTAGCCGTAGTGCAAGTGTAATCATTGAAGCGCAGTCAGGACCTGTCAGGACTTATAGTCAGGGCAGGGCTGCTGAGAGATCTCAGACAGGTGTGAGAGGGACACGAAAATATGACTGTAAGATGCCAGACATATTCACCAGTGTAATGGACACATCAGCTCCATTTTAAAAGGCAAACCAGTGTGTCTTGACAGCTAAACACCCCCCACATCTACATCTTGTATGACTGCTGGCTGAATGAATGTCAACATTAATTAAATAAACTGTCTGGAACCTGTGATGCATAAGAACTGATTTTCTTCTACCTGCTAAAGGGGGTGGTGCTCCAGTACACATGCTGCCTGTGTAAGTGCTTACATTAACAATACAGTGCAGGTCAACCTATACAAACTGCTTATTCCACCAAATATGCAGAGATGGAGCAACAATTTGTTCATTATGTGACAGGTTTTCTTAAACAGAAAGCCCAGACCAAAAATAGCACAGCTTTGAAATAACATGAGGGGCTGAGTAATTGTGGGCATGTCGCTACAGGTACTGGTGGGAATATACAATGTACTCTAGAAAGTCTAGATCACAAGGGTTAACATACACAAAAACATTGCACAGCAGGTAATAATTCCTTCGAAACAGAAATGTAATACTGTGAAAAATTACACAGGTGACATTCTGGCCTCCCTTTTGACGCAAATTGCAAGGTAAATAGTTGTTGCAGCAAAAGTTGACTCAACTTTTGTTACCATAGAGTTGACCTAATTTCAGTGGTCTTATCGAAATAAATAAGGGAGGAACTTGTGAAGAGAGAGAGAGAGAGAGAGAGAGAGAGAGAGAGAGAGATGCAGCGTGTCTGTGAAGCCCCGCCCCCGCACGCAGATGAGAGAGAGAGATCTCTTTTAAAATATATTGGAAGTTAGAAACGGAGATGGTTAGATAAAATGTGCAAGATAACGTTTATGTTGCATTTCTTTATTGTCGAAATGATGACATTTCATAACGGGATAAAGTCAAAGTGAATGGCCTGCTGCTGCTGAATGCATGGGGCAAGTGACTGGAAAAAGTAAAAAAATGTATTACATCGTTTCAGATAATAATAATAAATAATAATGATAATTCATTCTATTTAGAGGCGCCTTTCAAAGCACCCACGGACACCTTACAATTCTAAGGAAAGGTTTTAAGACAGTAAAAAGAATGCAGTCCGGGTGATGTTTTTTATGTGGGGTGCAGATGAGAGGGAGCTGTCCAGAATGACACCAAGATGTCGTGTTTGAGTTCTTGATAAGCCATTAAAACAGTAAAATAAGTGTCTCCTGTTCACCAAAACTTACCCATCTGTTATGGAAAAAGAAAGTATTCCAAAAGTATTCTAAAAGTAATCTGAATACGTTTTAAGACAAGTAACTTCTGTATTCTGATTACTTTCAGAGCCATTCAGTAACTAATTACATTTACAAAGTAACCCTCCCAACCCTGGCTGTCACTTGGATCTGCTCAACACTTGAATGGATCCTTCCTTGACTCATTCTAAACAACGAGAAAAACACCACACCCATATGAAGAGCTGCAAGAAATTCGAAAACCGATCTTGCAAAGACGCGTTGTGATTTGCATTGTATGATGAGAAGAAGTTAAGGTAGTGCAACTTATTTTCAGTCATCCATGCATTGGCTTTATGATTTAATTTGACTACTCTGAGAGTTCAGTGTA